GATGAAAAATTCAGTTACTTGGGCGTAAATTTGTTTAAATTGGTTCCATGCGGCTTCTACTTGAGACTCTGGGTTGATGTACCAGTTTACTGAGTTGGCTGCTTAGGCGATCGCATTTATATCAGCTTTCCAAACGTTTGGTCGAGATGGCGTTTTGGCCCTTGCTGCCGTTGCTGTGAACTTGAAAGTGAGCACAGCATGGTCACTCCTTCCTAATGGAGGAAGATGTTGTATGAGATCCATATCCTCACCATTGGAGAACACTAGGTCCAGAGTTGAGGAGGAGTGCTGTGAGTCATAGCGCGTGGGCTTGATGATATGTTGGACCAGAGCTAACGATATACTAGATTCCAGCAGTTTATAATCAAAGGAGTTGACTGAGGATGGAGTTGTTAGGCTCGTCCAGTCAACTGTTGGGGCGTTCAAGTCGCCAACTACGAGACTTCGACATTTCGAGGTCCAGGATCCTAGCTTCTCTACCAGGAAGTCATCCGCACTGCAGTCAGGACTGCGGTACATAGCAATGAGGTCGATGTCTTGGCCTATGCATTTAAGTCTGCGGCGTAGAAGTTCGCACGACTCACTTTCGTGAGCGAGTGCTTCGATACTACGCACGGTTAAGCATTTCTTGAGGTAAACGACTACGCCACCTACTTTTCGGTTTAGTCGGTCCACCCTATGCACTTCGAAGTTTGGCAGGTTAACTTCGTTGTCAGTGACATCGGGTGTGAGCCATGTCTCTGTGATAATAATTACATCCGGGTTTCCGGAGTCCATCATGTTAACCAGCTCAGTCCGTTTATTTAGCAGGCTGCGGGCGTTTGTGTAGCAAACTGTCAGTTCAGTTTGGTGCTTCCCTGGCCTACCCGCATAGGTTTCGGATCATTAAACTGCGAACTTGGACAACCCGAAAACCCTTAATCTTAAGGTTCTTTTCGCCGTTTCAGCGTCGTTCGCTTAATTCTAGGGCCGCAGACTGTTTTTTTAACACGGTCTCCTAGGCTTAAGTCGACGCGGACATATATGCCTGATCCTTTAGGGAATATGAGAGTTGCTTAGAATAGCATCCCTCTCTTCTTTAGAGTTTAGTACGGCTTTGAGGAGACGTACAGGCTGATTTACTGTAGGGTCAGGCTTTTGGCCTATTCTATATACGCTGTGTATAGTAATGCCTGATACTGTTTGTGGCAGTAGCTTGTTTAAGAGGGGCTTAACCAAGTTAAGGTAATGCTCGAATCTAGCCTTGGGATCGGGGACCAATGACTCTTCCACTTTGTGGAGAATGAGCGACCTGCCAGAGAGATCAGGTTTTTTTGGCATGGCTTTCTTGTTCTGCGGTGTAAATGTCTTTCTGTCCTTCGTGGGCAGTGTGGCCAATGTATTGTCCTTACCTCGCTTTTTGCGAGAGATTACTTTACGCCATTCATTGGCGTTCTCCTCGCTAAGCGTAGTAGGATTTATCTGCCTGCTACTCACCGGTGTGGATGAGGCTTGATCCACTAGTCCCTGGGTGACTTGAGTTGCAGGTTTTCGACCCCTGGTACGCCTCTTCTTTGTGGCAGTCTTTCCATTACTGTCACTGGAGGGCTTATCCATTATCGTGGGGGCAGCCTGGGTGTCTGGAGTGTGGTGAGTGTTCTTCTGTGCTGAAGGGCACATTGACAAAGACTCATCAGGAACATGCACTGTTTTGTCGATGACACTAGTCGCATCTTCGGTGTCTGAGAAGTAGTCAGTCTTCCACTGTGATGGAAGACCCTTGCAGTCCATGAGCTTTAAATCCCCACTGAGAGTGGCAATGGCTTCTGTAGTACAGAATTTGGTAGTACTACAACAGTCATTGCACAAACACTTTGCTAGAGGTTTGCAGCAGCGTTTGTATGCTGTGGGAGTTACGTTTGTGCACATACTGTGAAATCATCTCTTGCAGTTATGACACTGCATTCCCTCATCCACTGGGAATTAGCACATAACCCTTCCGCAGCGGTTTTTTCTGATGGGCATACTGTCTAGAGCGGACTGGCGAAGAAATTTAAATGTATATAGACCTTAATAAATCAGCGATAAAAACCAATGAGTGCACGAAAAAATATATATATAACTATTATGTTATAAGACACAACTTCCTATAGTTTAAATAGACTCAGATCTGAAAAGTAAACTAACTTAGATCAGAATAAACTGATTTGAAGTTAACCTGTAGACTTTTGGAGCGTATAACACAAAAAAAGCTAAAACTAATCAAGAGCGTGTAAAATTCTCTCCCTTTTCAAAAGTGTCAGATGGGCGTTGACTCACTTGACTTTCTGGGCCACACCATTGAGTGCGAGGCCATTCGTCCGCTGGCTAGTAAAGTTGAGTCGATAATGAACTTTCCGGAGTCACAGACAGTGAAAAGTCTGCGCACTTTTAATTGCTTGGTAATTTATTACCAACGCTTCATTCGTAACTATGCTTCCCTGATTCAGCCATTAACAGACCTTCGAGGGAATAACAAGTCCATCGAACTCGACGCGTTTGCTCGAAGTAGTTTCACTCAAGTTAACAGGGCTATCACGGATGCCACATTCCTATGTATCAGGGTCCAACGGCACCGTTAAGTATCTCGGTTGGTGCATCAGTCACTGCAATCGGCACAGTTCTGCAAAAACTAGTCAACAGAGAGCGGCAACCACTCGCCTTTTTCTCGAGGTGCCTTCAGTTAACAGAAACTAAGTACATCACATTCGGAAGAGAAATTCTGGCTATGTACTGTGCTATACGTCATTTTCGAAATTCAGTGAAGGGTCGTGAATTTATAATTTTCACTGACCACAAACCTCTGACGTATTCTCTGAACTCAACTTCAGATACGTATTCACCTAGAGAATCACGAAAACTGGACTACGTTTCACAGTTTACATCGGATATTCGCCATGTATCCGGAGTGAACAACACTGTGTCAAATGCTTCGTCGCGCATTTGTTCTTTCACCTAAAAAGTTGGCTCGACTTCAAAACAGAGATAGCGACTTCCAGCATGAGTGGTTGAAAACAACTCTGCAATTAGCCGGGAAACCCTTAGCTATGGGAAGAGACGCTATTCTATGAGGCGTTTCCACGAGTACTCCTCTCCCTCTCGTGCCTAAGAGCTATCGCCGTAATGTCTTCAATACGTTGCATGGCTTATGCCACTCAGGTATTCGGACTACCGTCAAGCTCATTACTAGTCGGTTTTGTTGTCCTGGTACTAATAAGGAAGGAAGGAAATTAGTTCATACATGCCTAGCTTGTATTTCTTGCAAAAAAGTCGTTTAAACGAAATATAAATTATTATTATTAATGTGCAAGTATGTAAGACACACCAGAAGCTAACTTGGCACCTAAGGATACGAATTGCCTTGAAAACTGATGCTTGTTGTACTGCCGCTGAGCTAATATATAGCACAACACTACTACTGTCACGTGAGTTTGTTTCTCCCTGGAGCTTTCCACCAGTGGTAGATGACGCCTCATATGTCAGCAGGCTTACAAACGCAATGCGTTCAGCTAAGCCTGCTCCCCTTCGACCACTGTCCATAGACATCTTTGTTCACCCGTGTTTGAAAACTTCTTTGCACGTATTTGTTCATCGTGGCTATGTGTGTCGCCCTCTGGAACCACCAAACGACGGACCATAAAATTCATTAAATGAATGGATCCATTTTTTGTCTTAGACAAAAAAGTCCGCGAAGACATCGTCAGCATCGACCGTCCGGAACCGGCCTACTTAAAATGAAATCCTATCAGCCTAGAGCTGAGCGTTTCAATAATCCACAAGTAACCTAATGTCTTTTAGTCCTCGAAGAACTCACTAGCATGGCGAAAGCCACTGAAGCTTCTGTCGAGCCCTCGAAGAAAACGCGTTCCGGACGAAACGTGAGATTCCCAGAGTATCTTCACAGTTACATCACATAACCAAGTGATGCGATTCACCCAGTTCTTATTCGTTTGTGGTATTTATTATATATATTTCTTTCAGACAAATCAATTTTTTATTTCATCCCGCAGCACCAGTTAAAAACTTTTCTACAACTTCACAGGTTATAACCGCTAAAATAATTAGATATATATTTTTCCAATGTTCTAAATTTTGCATTATTTTACTGTATGGTAGATGCACATCATTTTTCAACCTTTATTTTTGATAAATCTTCCTCAACAAGTATCTCAGCATTCTTGTTTTCTTCTCCAGGTGCGACGGCCACGACAATAAGCAAAAGAAGTACGAGATTCAACGGACAGACATGAACGGAGCGATGTACACACATCACATTAGCATAGGTAAGCCACCATTAGGCACTACATCAAGCCAACTGGGGAGTTGTTTTACTTCCGGATGGTTTTGTCTCAGGGTCCTAACAACCCCACTAGAGGGTATACTGAGCTGTAGCGGTATGTGATTCTCCAGAATTATTGGCCACAGCATTCACAACTGAACATTAGATAATGACTCTCACTGTTTAAGTCAAACTGTTCAGCTGAACGCTTCCGGTCAAGCATCCACGCCTTGTCTAAAAGGGACTCACATATTCTAGAAAGGGTTCAAAGAAAAGCAACACGTATGGTTCTCGGCATGACTAATTTATCACACGGGGAAAGACTAGACAGCTCAAATCTCTTCTCCCTGTCATACCGTAGACAGAGAGGAGATTTAATCACAATGTTTAAAATTTTATATAATGACTACGAACCTGACCTATTCTCTCTTTTCCTTCCCACCAGGTCGGAACAGCTTAGAGGACATAGCAGGAGAGTTCAAAAGACAAGAAGAAATCACATTGCTGTTGAGTACTGGTTCTCACACCGAGTCATAAACTCTTGGAACCGACTCCCAGAAGAAGTGGTGTCTGCAGCCTCAGCTGATTCGTTCAAGAAGGGTTTGGCCAACCACAGAAATTTACTAGAAAAGGATTAACATAGGCTCCAAGCCTTCTATCCTCAACCAATAAATCTGAAATCTGAGTGTTAAGTGAAACTTAGCTCAAGGTTGTTTCTGAGATCACCTTGGTGACACTTTCAAAGTTGCTTATCGTCTCACTATTTTTAGTGGTTAATGTAAGTAAGAAACAAAAGCTACAGGTTGCGTTGGCACTATATTCACAGTTTTATGACAGCTTTAATGCAGTTATAAAGTGCGGTATTACTTTAGTAGGTCGTTTAACTGGGTTATGAATACCTCTCAAAAGAGAGGTTTTTATAATGTCTTCTCTTTAAATTTTCTTGTTATCGATAATAAGAAAATTTTCCTGGTATTAGCGTCGTGTAGTGGCAAGCTGAGGCAGTTCGCTGTCAAAATTTTATTATTATTTCAGTCAGTATGATTGGATCTGTAATCGCAGAGTTTTAATTAGTCACGACTGATAAAGCATTAATATTGTTGTTTGGATAGTTAGTGTTGTTTAATGTGTTGAGATTCAGACTTTCGTTGATAATAGAAGGCTTTAAGCTTGTTTTAGTACTTCTAGAATAAGTATCTATGCTTCCAATATCCAATATCCTGATTACGAGCTCGCTTCATGATTGTAAGGTAGATGTTCCAGATCTTCGGTGAACTTATGCGTAGTAAATCCCGCCACTCGACTGCTTTAGCTCTGGTAGACTCCAAGATGAGTGGTGATATGCTTGTCGGATCTATTCAATGAAGAAGTCGATTTAGGGTACTGACACCACTTCTTCCGGGATGTTTATTGTAATATTCTGCCCTATGAATTATCGTGCTTTGTAATGTGAGATGTTTTGACAGTTTGGGAACAGAAAGAGGGTAGATGTTCTCCATAGTCATTTGGGATTTCGGACGTTATCAGATCTCCACTTGTGGTGTGATAAGGAGAAGGGATTCAAACTGCCACGAACAATAAATTAGCCGTACCAGCAGTTTTACAAGTGGTGTCCCTGTGGACTATTTCTAGGTTATATTAGTCCTCTTTAAGACGGAGGCTGCATGCATGGATCGACTTTTCTAGTTTTGACGTCATCAGACGTGTATATAAAGGGATGAACATTTTTTATTGATTCTAGTAAGGGCTCTGCGTATTTCTTATAGGGATCTAAGGTATTGAGCTCCGGCAGTATGCCATAGTGTTTACGTTATTACTTACTGTCACCTAGATTCATGTTCGTTTGAATTGATTGGAGTTGTATTGCCTGTTTATCATATGGGCTGTCACCCGATGAGCGTGGTTGTGTACTTTGATCCTCTGATTAGATTCATCCATTCTTTAGACCAATCTAACATTTTTTAAGATGTCGCAACTTAAGTATGTAGCTATCTTCTCTAAGCTCCGCATTTTTAGGTCGTATGTATAAGTTCAAGATGCAATCGAATCTGATAGAATCCGCATGTTGGAACTTAGTCATTATATTATTCGGCTTTCGTTTAAAAAAGTAAATTGGTACTAAGCTTTCTTGGGTATTCTTCTTATTCTAGGAACCCTTGAAATTTAGACAATAGTCAGAAGAAATTTAGATTTGTATTTATTGAAAGTTACCAGTAATAGTGTAAGTATCCTGTCTTCAAATAGTGGGTTCGTCACTATCGAGACCTGATCACTAGTGTAGTCTTTTTTCATCAGTGTAAAGGTAAAAGATAACTGTTATGATTTATTATTAATATTTTATTCTATCTCGTATTCATATAATTCACTGATTCAACACCGCTCTTGCCAGTACCATTGTGTTTTTCGGTATTATTATATTGTTATTATCCATTTTGCAATTCCTGACTTCTTCAAGTTCCTTCTCTGATAACTAATTGTTTATTTAAGTGATGCACCCGAACACTAATGCATTATAGTTCCCTTATCTATTTGAACTTGATACACTACAGTTCATTTACTTATCAGTCATATATATATATCACTGTATGTAGAATAACCAGCTGAAGTCCTATGGAAATTTAATAAATTCATTGAGTACTTCCTTAATAACATTTCTTACATGTTTTCTCAGTTTATTATCATTTTCATAATTTGATCTCTTACACAATACAATCGTCTTCATTTATTTTCCAGCTAGCTGAGCGTGGAATTCTCAAAAAATGATAGATCTAAGTGGATATGTCTGTCTTGTCACGGGAGCTACTCGGGGTATTGGAAAGGGTGTGGCGGTAGCTTTGGGGAAGTGTGGGGCTACAGTGTATATTACTGGTCGAACGTTAAAGAATCCCAATGACGGTGTCGGGGGTAGTTTACAAGAAACTACAGAAGATATCAATAAATATGGTGGTGTACGTGGCAACTTCTTATACATGTTTAACTAATTGTTACTCAACAGTTTGCTAATAGGGTGACACTGTTATAGGGTGATGTAGGAATTATGTAATCAACGATTGTTACTTGATGTCATATCTCAGTATATATGGTTGTTTTAATTATGAAAAGTATAACCATAAATAGCTTGGATTATAGTGAAGGTCTAGAAGCAAAATCATCTAATTCTCTCCATTTCTGTATAAGCTATAATTATCGCTAAAGATTTCAGTGCAGTGATTTTTTTCGTAGTCTTTTAAAATAATACAGCGTGGCACTACAAATAAACATATTTAGTGCTTACACGGAATCATAAAACAGATGTTTCTAACCAAAGGTGTTTCAACCCCAACTTTGGTTTAAGTTTGCTCAGGTGAGACATTCATATGCGATCTGAATGTGGTTATTCGATTGAAGTTAATTCGCATTCGTATTGAATTGATGTCAAGGGATTCGATACCCAGTCCAGATGGATCTCTCAGTGTACAGACAACATGAACGTTATTGGGTGAGGAAAGAGAAATATTAGTGGGATGTATGCAAGTTCCAACAGGTTGCAGACTTTCATCAACAGTTTCCTTCGCTCCATACTGAAGATCCAGTGGCCAGGAAGAATAAGTAACAAGAAACTATGGAAACGAACCAACCAAGAGCCGACCGCTCAACAAATATGTAGGAGAAGGTAGAGGTGGATCGGGCATACATTGAGGAGGCCGCCGAATGATATCTCACGTCAGGCCCTCTAGTGGAACCCCGTTGGTGATCGACGAGTGGGTAGTGTGGGGAAGAGATGAGAGAGTTTGGTCAGTCGTGGAGCTAGCCAGCTGAAGAGGGGGGGGCAGAAAACAGAACAAAGTGGAGATATGTTGTTGAAGCCCTATGTTCTACTTGGAACGCAAGGGAATAATAATAACAAATGCAAGTCCGGTGGTATTCATTACTGCGACCTAGAAGTATGAAGTCCTATCGATGTTCTGTGATTATTCTTATATTGTTCTTATTATTCCCTAGGGTTTGGAGTGAACATAGGGCTTCAACTTCACACCTCCAGTTCACTGTTCTTTGCAGTCTGCAGCCTGTTGGAAATGCTTTTCATGATTTGTCAGGTCTCTGAATCATATAAAAACTGAATTTTTGTTGAAGATCCGAGTCTTGTTCCTCGTGTTGAGTGCAGCAGATTTCCACACTGGTCTCAGAGTAATGAAGGTCTGTCTGGCTTTTCCGATCCTGCGTTTGATATCTTCATCTGTGCTGCCTGTGGTCAAAACCACGACGCCTATGTGAGTGAAAGAGGTGACTTCCTTTAAAATTCATCCTACTGATGGTGACTAATGAGTGTTGTTGGTTAGGTATCTTTATCACCTCCGCCTTCTCTAAGTTCGCTTGAAGTCGTGTCTTCGCTGCCTCTTCTGCAAACCTGATCATTTTCACTTATAGATCTTCAAGTGTATGTGTGTGACATTAGACATAAATCACTGGCGAAGCCGTGATCTTCTACTGTCTTCTCGTTGGTTCAACGTACGCTCGTCTTCTTGCTCCCTATGGTTTGCTGCATGATCCGGTCCACCACAACGACACATATCATCGATGATATTAAGCAGCCTTGTCTTACTCTTGTCTTCACTTCAAATGCTTCCAGTTGTTGCTATGAGGTTTTGGTTTATCTACAATTTATTTTTGGAAGAAGATGATAAACCCACAATGTTTGTTCATTTGTGTCAGCGAAAAAGCAATACGGATACAGTTATCAACATATTTAAGTATTAGATCTAATAAACCACCTACTTGCACTTAGGATTGTGAGTCTCATTCGAAGTTTCTGATATTCCCACTATATATTTTTCGCAAACAAACAGGAGAATTAGCTATTTAAGTTCGTAATATCGTTTTTATATAGCGTTTTATACTGTTTAACTTCTGCATTGTAAAAACGACAGCCGTTGCTTTTTGTAGAAGGCTATTCCTGTTGTTGTGGATCACTCAAATGAAACCCAAGTGACAGACTTATTTAATCGAATCAGTCGAGAACAAAATGGACGTTTGGATGTCTTAGTGAATAATGTTTACAGTGCTGTCTCCTTCATAAGTCAAAATATTAAGAAACCATTTTATGACATCAGAAACGTATCTCCAGGAGAAGCTTGGGACATAGTAAATAACACTGGTTTGAAAAATCATTATATATGTTGTGTTTTGGCCACTCGAATGATGGTTGAGCATCAAACGAAGTCAGACACAAATTCATCTCGACCTGGATTGATTGTAAATATTACGTCTGTTGGTGCGAAAACTTATCTCTTCAATGTGGCTTATGGGACAGGTGAGCCGTCTTTTATCTCACACTTACTATTATTTTCTGTTATGGAAAAACAGCATCATGTTCTTGTCAGCAGTGTGCCTGCCAAACGTTTCATAATTGTACTGATTAATTAACAGTAGTGTCAATCGTTCTCCTAAGTTCTGGGCAAATTAATCTTTATCCTTATACTCGAGCATGTTAGACAAGTCGAAGCTCTCAATTTCGGTTCATATATCCCTTTGAACTAACCGGAGTTCAGTTGTGTTACGTTTACTATACTCTTTTCTATGATTTTTGTACGTCATCTGTTGGATGTGACAGACCTGTAAGAAGTTGTTCCAGTTACAAAAGTATATTGGCGGAACCTATGGAGTTCTATGCCAACGAATCGAGAGCGGCGATGGTCTCGTGCAGTTAATAATAATAATAACAATAATAATAAAGCTTTATTTCAGACAGTATGTGAACATACATTACAGAAGTTTTCAGCATATTTGGTTTCAAAAATATTTCCTCTTCATACAAGATTTACATGTCAAGTAGTAACCTGAAGTATTTCATGTGCCGTAGCTTTGTTGTTATGTACACTTTCCCTTCATTTCCTTCAATAATTTCACTGTGTTTAGTAGGAAGCTAATTCATTATGTGCGCGAATTCATGTAGTGATCATTTGATATAATTGCACAATTAAAACAATAGGAAATGCAGAAGAGTTTGAGCACACCCTGATGAATGAAAATTCTGATAGCCCAGTGATTTAAGCAGGTCACCGCGAGTGCAGATATTCATCTATTTCTGGCCAACTCTAACTTCAAACATAAGGAGAAGCATCTCTTAACCTGGCGACCACTATCACCAAATCAACAATGAACTCAAATACACTACACAGGGATCAGCTATCGATGGTGAAAGTCGGTAGGAGACTGCTTCTCCAACAGGATTCCATGTATAGATTCCGATCACACCTTAGTCCGCGCATGTATATATTGCCTACGATTGAACGGACATAGAAAACAGGCAGCTATGAAGCCGTTGCGCTCCCAACTTGATGATGAGAGGAAGAAACAGCTAAATTCATACCTCAGACTGATAAATTTCGATAAAGCAAAAAGACCAATTTTTCAGTATGTAGTGACATTATTTTGTATCACAGATTCTCACCCGCCGCAGACTACCTGAACTTGCAATGGTTATAAGAGAATGAAATCAACATACTTCACTGTTGAAATGATAGTGTGTGTTCACATTCATCTGAGTGCCTGGGAAGTTGGTCGGAGTTTTGTGAAAAGGTGAATGAACATATACAAGAAATTTCTCAAATTAATTTCTTTAAAGTTTTGTCTTATTTATCAGTTTAACTTTTTAGAGGTGCACCAGCATCAACAACAAAATTCGGATTTTCAATACAAACGTCAAGTCAGTCAGTTCTTCTATACGGATCAGAAACGTGGCGGGTCACAAAGAATATTTCCAACAGCCTGTTGCAGACCTTTATCAACAGCTGTCTTCGTTCCATACTCAAGATCAGATGGCTGGGAGGAATCACCAACAAGAAACTATGGGAACAAACAAAACAAGAACCAATCACTCAACAAATATGCAAGAGAAAGTGGAGATGGATTGGACACTCTCTGAGGAGGCCGTTGGGTGACATCGCGCGTCAGGTCATCGCTCGAGTGGAACCCGAAAGGGAAGCGGCGAGTGGGACGTCCAAGGGTAACATGGAGGAGATCGTGTGAAGAGGAGTTGAAACAGCATGGATTAACATGGATGCAAGTGAAAAGTACAGCAGAAGACAGGAGCAAGTGGAGGCGTGCAGTTGAAGTCCAATGTTCCACTAGGGGAACAATAATATATAATAATAGGTATGAAATGACCAGTTAAACCAAAAACCTAGTGCCTAAACTTGTATAATTTTATTTGATGACCCATGGATTGTTCAGCCTTCTGAGTTTTCAGTAATCTACTAGAGTTTATTTAATAAATCATAACCGAATAAAGAATGATCGTTTAGTAAACTATGCATACCTTCCGGCTACCTATCAATACTGAAATTTCCATTACTTTTTTTTAGGAAAAGCAGCACTTGATCGCATGACCAAGGATATGGCCAAAGAGTTGAAACGTGCGAATGTTAATATATCTATTGTTGGAGTTGCACCTGGATTAGTACGTACGGAACATATGTTGAATCTTGCGGACAAAGGATCTCTACAACTCGACTTAAATAACAGTACGTTTCTAGATTGAGTTGATTTTAATTATTATTATTTCTACCAAGTACTGGTCATGCATAACCCTTTCCTTTTAATTGTTGTACTTATTCCGTAATTTCTCACAGTTAAACTCGTAAAATATCCTTCGGTTTGTTCCAAACTCATTGACTCATCATGCTTATGTGACATCGTTTATTGAGGTAGAAGTTCACTACTCATTTATTTCACTCTCAAAGCTTTATCCATTGGCCAACAGTGTATCTTATCGAAATACTAGCAGTAAGTTAACAATCATTTAAAAGTACCTAGACTAGCCACTTCAAATTGTATCTATC